AGGCCATAAGCCGTCACCATCCAGTCATACTAAACCCCAGGTGATGTCCGCCTAAGCCTCGAACTCGCGACCTGTTGATCAGACGGCCAGCACTCTAACAATTGGGCCCCGAGCTTGTTGTCCTGTCAGGTTACATCGGGAATATTGACACTCTTTGATGGACGCTCACCAACGGCTAACGGAGCTCACTCAATTGTGGGTTTGAGCCCCGGGTGTGCACTAGATGGAGTTGGATAAGACTGGATGATGACGACTAATGAGCCAGAAATGGCCACTTCAGTCCCTCTTTTCTTTCTCGCCAGTGTTCATCTACAAACGACCGTGCCGACAATCTGGGCTGCAGCAACGTCATGTTTGATGGCGATTTTAAATTTTGCAGAGCCATCTGATCTGATACAGGCAGGCAGTCAGGCGTGCACTTCAAGAAGATCATACCAGATGAAGAAAATTGTAACGAGCACACAAAACACATCCTCACACACGGTCGGCTCCGTTAAGGTGAGGCATGAAGGTTTACGGGATCTGGCTCTATGTGGCATAACCGGGCGCATTTGCGAGCTTAACTACAAAAATTGTCGACTCAGCCATGATACAAATGGGCAACGGTATTACCATAGGAGAATAATTTCTCTCACCTTCACATTTCCTAAGGCACATAAATTGCTCAAAAGAATAAAAACTTGGTTTTTGACAGGTTAGCGTGGACTGGGACAAGCGCCATCACGAGGTGGCAACCTCTTGAGCTAAGACCTTACCTCCAGCCCGGTAATGTAAATTCCGTTATTTTGATGCACCGGAGTAGAACAGCATCCCCTTCGGTTCCGCGAAGTATGTATTTACTTCAATTTACCACAGTCACCAATAAGGACCTGTTTTGGGACGCACAGTGCATTACAGATGGATGAGAAGAAAATTCGATCAAAAATAGTTTTTAACTTCCTGTACAGCGGGAGTACTTGCAGCTAAAAAGATAAAACTATTGTACGCAAATCCTGTCTCGGCTTAAAAAAGGCCTATTAACCTCGTGCAAAAACAGTTCAAGGTTCAAGGTGGGAAGATGAATTGGAGGAAAAAGCGAAGTACAAAAAGATTAAACAGCAAATTTACGAGTTGTGTTTAGATGCGACCAAAAATTTTCCAACTTTCGGTCAGGAAAACGCTTTCTAAATTTGTCCTCGTATACTTTGTAAAAGACCCGATCTTCCGCGGCGATTTCTCGGGCCTGAAAAGGAAGGAAAAAGGAGAGAGAAGTTATAC